AGCGCTTTTAGACTTGCTGCTCATGGTGTAAAGTTCAACAGGATAATATATTTTTTATCCAAACCAAGCCTAGAAGCTCATAAATTTTGGAGTGTATTGTACTTAAGGGGGCTCTTTTTTCCAGTGCATCCAAATGAGTTAGACTTTCTTTGCAGACATCGTTTGTTTATTTGTTTTCAACGCTGCTGAATGATTTGCTAGGGACAAAAACTCACAAAATGGCAATTTCGGTGTTTGGTCCACATAGTATCCATATAGTATACGGATCTGTGCATCTGTGCCAGCCGTGATCTGTGAAGATAATTACCCATTGAATCGCAACTAATCTCCCGGGAAAGCCGCTCCTGAGTGTCTGAGTGTGAGTAGTGCCATCAATTACTGGCCACAATTGCCGGCGTTGCACATGCCACATATAGAGCAGTATCCAAGTGCCCACCGAGTGGTTCCAAAAATAAAACCCAACAGCCGAGAGCCGAGACCCGAGAGCGGAACCACTCCTCAGTCCAGTTGGATGGGTCTTTTGGCTCTGCGCACATGGTAAATAAATTGCCAAACAAATATCAACATGACAAATTGATTAATTCATGTTATTATTCCACTGATGTGCTCCAATGTGTCCCGGAAAAAGGCGGCTGAGAATAATGCGACCGTGGTGTATTTAGTTTTTAGTTCTAGTCACACATTAACCAAATGAAAATTCGGTGTTGACGCATTTGTTTTTCCCACTCTCCCAAGGAAACGGCGACAAATGAGCCAGGCGGTCGGCAGCTGACAAGAAAAACAGGGACAACAAGTACACCACTGTCTCAGTGAGATATGTGGAAATGGAAATGGAAATGTAAATGAAAATGAAAATGGAGACATTGAGCACGTTGCTACATTTGTCAACGATTTCCATATGGCAAAGTCCGCCGACCATCTCTTCTATTGGAATTTTAATGATGCGCGAAATGTTAATTTTTCATCTTGATCGCCTCGAGTTCGCTCCGAGTTCCATCAGCCTCCGTTCCCATTTCCCAGCCACTTAATGAGCCGGCGGCTGAGTCATCCGCGCTGGCTTTCAATTAACGTTGATCACCTCAATTGAGGCACGTCGCCGTTAAAGGCACTGCGAGAAACTATGACAAGCAAAATCAATTGTTAAAATAATAAGCCAGCACTAGGATCATTAGCCATTATCCCATTGCCATCCATATCCATCAAACTCATTTCCTTGATCTTCGCTCTCAGTGGAGAGCGAGAGAGCTTTTATTTCTGCGCCTAAATACCTATTGTTCCTATTTTCCCTCAGTGTGAGATGCCCCCCTTTACATCTGCCAATTGCCAATTAAGGAATATGGCTTCTCTACCTCCTCCAACTTCGGCAGCAGCAGTTGGCCCAATATGTGGGTACATTCCTGTGCAGGGTGCATCGCGACCCGACTTGGCCATATACGAGTACTTGTAATTCCTGCTAATTGAACCGAATGGCTAGATAGCTAGCAGATATTAAGTTACGCCCCTCGTGGCGGCGGCGAGGTGAGGAAGAACACTTTATGGCCACCAACCCGGCGCAGAAAGCCAGCAGCTCGAGAGGGTCGCGTGTTTAATAATAATTTCTTTGGAATATGTTTATGGTAAGCCGTGGTCTAATTAAAATCAATTGCCTTAATTGAAAGTACAACAATGGCAAGCCAAGGAGCTGGAACTCTGTACTTCGGCTCTGGCCGCGCCCTTCTACTTTCCACACTATCGACACATGAAGGTAGCAATTTGATCGCCGGCATTATTTATGGCCATGCCGAAAGTGCTTTGGAGCGTGGAATCCGAGTTACCCCATAAATCAGCATCACTTGGAGTTTTAAATTGGCATAAATCTATGCGACTGGCCGGCCGATACAAAGAACTATAGCTGGCTTGCATGTTAATTTTTCAAAACGCCGCGACAGTTTCTGCTGGTAATTGCGGACTTGGCAAGTGCCATATATTATATTATTTGGCCAAAACACTTGATATATGGCCGGGCCAATGATAAATCTCAGACGATAGTTGCGCTTTATTCTAGACGCACACTTTGTGTGGGCTTTGTTCATGGCCATAACGTCGCCAATTTTGAGTACCCGCGAACATTTCTTTTTCCTTATCTTGGCCCGAACAATTCATACTTCCAAATATCCCTGGCATTTCATATGCAATTCTGTTTATTGGCCTGCAAGCCTTTGCCTCGACTTTCTCGGCTTCCGCTGCCAATTGTGTTGCATCGTAAATTATGTAAATTGTTTTGCGAATACACTCCGTTGGCAGTTTAATTAGCTGACATTATGTTGGGGGATTGGAGCCAAATGGAGGGGGAGCTCTTTGTCATAGGCAAAGATACTGAGCCAATAAATAATTTTCAATGAATTCTTTAATTTATTTAAATGAATTCCGTCTTTTTACACCCAGCAGAATACGTTCATCTAAGCCAAAGTCTTTTTAAAACATATTTTAATATGTATATCGAGAACTGAATAAACAAGTAAATTGTACACTTAGGCAAACACATAAAACACCGCAGACATACAAAGTGCTTGCCCATTACACTTAATATTTCATCGCGAACTTCAACCTCAATTATGAAAATGAAAGGAAAGCGCCACTCGCAACTCGTATCTTGGGCTCACCCACCCCATCAAAGAGAACTGGGAAAACCCCAAAGGCAAGCCACTCCACCCCACCCCGTAGGCAGTATTTCGTGGACAAAAACCAGTCGAACATACCTCAACTCGGGCATTTTAAAATGGTTCGGCGTACTTGCGGATATGAGCAACCAGAATGTGCACATAACATTAAATGGGTTCACTTACGGATACGGGTTTACGGGGATAGTGAGCACCGTATGAGCAATATACGAGTATGTGCAAAATGTGCGGCAGCGGGGCAAAAGGAAAACAAATTTCAATTTAGCTTAAAGATTTTGCACATAAAATTTGTAACACTCAATTAGTTTAAACGACAACGAAAAATGTTGCCAGACCGAGTCACAACAATGGCGAGAAGCTACCCCCTATCTGTTTTCAGCTGGTACTTGGGCATTTTCGGGTATCCTGGGTAAATCGCATAAATGCGGCGACGTATGAATTTCGCTTAATATGATTAGTGAGCGGTCCTTGCCACAACCCCGAATTATCGAATGATATGTGAGAGGTACTGGTACTACAAGTGCACTAATGGAGTGAAACACTTTCGCTGCACACTTGCGGCACACATCATTATGATGAGGTTGCAAGGGATGGAGATGGTGGATGATGGGTGGTGGGTGGTGGGTGGTGTGTGTTGGGTGGTTGTGGAGCTGTGCCTCGAAATCAATTTCATTTCGCTAATGTCGTGTAATACTAAAATCGTTTACGCTTCTGTGCCATTCAAGTGGGATTGCCCGATTAGAAACAAATGCTGTATTCCAAAGATTCATGGGTGGGGTTTGGAAAATCGCAGCTGGTCGAGGTGGGTCAGTCAGTCAATCACCGAGGACCAAATCTTTATTAATTCTGATCGATGACCCTCGCCCGAGTCCTTCGCTGCTGCAACAATCAAATGATGGAGCGCTTACGACAAAGCTCTCGTTTCCCTGCGAACTGGAGACTGGCCACTTTCATGCACTCATACAAGTTCGACAGCTGAAAGCGTTTCCGTTTCCGTTTCCGTTTGCTTGTCTCTGTTTGTCCATACATCTCCCATTGCCCCCCTGCCCCCCTGCCCCCACCACCATTTTCCACCTCTCCAGCAAGGCTACTGTCCATCGATGGTGCAATGAAGCGCGTTTATTTGCCGCTCGTAATTTATTTACTGCCCAACTCCGTGCACTTCGATTCCATTCGGATAGAACCATTCAAATGTCTCCTCTGCGTGTCCACTCGCTGCAACTTGCAACTTGTTAGTTAAATATTGCCAGAAGCTGCGACTCTTCTTCCAGATGCACTGCGAGAAATGCATAGCTTGATAGCTACTTAGAAATAAATCCATTTTACTTATCTCTGTGTACATATAAAACTGCGTTTCATATGGCGATTCTACTTAATTGAAAGAAAACAATTTAAAAAACTTCCTAAAACGATATAAATAATGAAAAATGCTTTCCTTTATATTATTGAACTATTTAAATAGTAAGCAGCAGTAATTGTAATGCTTAACTAGGGTATAAATAGTGCTCTAGAGTGTTCTGAGTGCATTGCCTGCAAGTGATAAATTAATCGCTACATCAGTTTTTAATTCCGTGTTGCTGGCGATTTATCTTGGACTCCATGCGTTGAGTCTTTCGAAACACTGGGACAAGGTTTTCCTGCATAGAGAGAGAGATGGCTCGGAAAATGGAACGAGACAGGGCTTTCAATGAAAGCCAGGCTGTGGCTAAAATACAGTGATCCCTCACTCTGCGCAACCTTTATCCCTCCCCCAGGCTGCACTGTTTAAAATGATGTATGGCACACATTTTGACAAATGTACAAAAATGAGTCATGAGTTCGCGGGGCAAACAGAAAGCGCTTCTCTACTGTTGCTGCTGCGCATCATGTTGCTGCTGCTGCTGTTGCTGCTGCTACTGCCTGGCTGCACTATTTTCTGTTGACTTTTTCATGTACTGGCTGTTGCTGCTTTTGTTGGCATTATCCATAAAACAAACACAAACTGGCGGCGAAGATGGAGCTGCTGCTTACACATGTTTTGCGAAAAAAGGGGAATGGGTCTGGAGCCTGGCGCCGTAATTAATCATTTATGGTTTACCTTAACACAGAGCTCTGTGCTCAGCATGCAGCAGATTTAATTCAAGCTGGGCTGTAAACAGATCTCTTCCAGTTTGCGTAGTCTTAAAAAACAAATTGTAGACATCGAGAGTAGGAAAAACATGTTCAATTGCAATTTACATATAATTAAAGTCATGCAGCTTCATATATTTAATACAACTCAATCGAGTGGGATTGAAATTAAAGTCTCCGTGTTGTCAAAAATCTATAGCAGCCCTATAGCTCAGAATCCAGTCCCTTGTCTCGCGTAGACTTATCAACAGCGTCTGGAATATCGAGCTCCGGACTTTTCTTTCAGCGTTTGGTGCTCCGTGTGTCCGTGATTAGAAGTTTGCGTGGCTACGGCTAGGTACATATATTTTTGTAGGATTGGGACTAGGACTAAATAGCATGGCCAATCGCTCCAGCCAGCGGGACCGAGAGTTCAACCGTGATAGCACTAGCAATTACAATCGCGATAATCGCGACTATAATCGGGACAATCGCGACAATCGGGATAATCGCGACAATCGAGACAATCGCGTCAATTTCCGCGACTATCGCAATCGTGACAGGGATCGCGATAGGCAGCGTCAGGTGCCCACGGAACCACCTTTCATTGCTTATGTGGGCAACCTCCCCAAGGGTCTCGTCCAGGGCGATGTGATGAAGATCTTTTCGGACTTTGAGGTGAAGAATGTGCGCCTGATCAAGGATCGTGAGACCGATGAGTTCAAGGGATATGGCTACGTGGAGTTTGAGACTTTGGCCCAACTGAAGAGGGCTCTCTCCTGCAACGGCCGCATCAAGCTGGACAACTTTTCGGCGCCCCTGCGTATCGATATAGCCGACCATCGCCGGCAGACCCCGGGTTCCAGCGGAGCTGGCGGAGCTCCCCCAGTCGGTGGCTCCCAAAGTCTGGGCGGTCACGAAAGAGGTGGTGGCGGCGGAAGAGGAGGCGGCGCCGGTGGTGGAAACGGTAGCAATCCCTACTACCAAAGGCGCAACTATCGGCGGGACGACAGTGTGGGATCCCATCAGTGTCGACGGAGGGAAGCCCGCAGCAGCAGCAACCACCAAATGTCCAACAGCAGCCCCACCCAAAGCACCACGTCCATCAACTACAACCGCACCACTCGAGGTGGCTTCAATAGCCGTGGTGGTAGGGGTGATCGCGGTGGCGGAATGGGCAACGGCCATGGGAACGGAAATGGCAATCGCTACCAAGGAGGAGCTCCACGTCATTTCGATGACCGCGAGGATCATCAATCGTCCAGCAGTGGAGGATTCCAACGCAATCGCAACTTCAACTTCAATCGGTAAGAAATGGAATGCCAATCAAGCGCTCAAATGACCTCAAGGTCAAATTCATTTTCCAGCTCTATGAACAGCGGCGGCGGAGGAGGTGCTGGAGGAGTTAGGGTCGGGAATACGCAGCGAAACTTCAATGGCAATGGAGGGGGTGGATTCGGGAGCATAAATGAAAACGGCAACTATACCAATTTTGTTCAGAACCGCAACCGCGATCGCCGAGGACACTACAATCCAAACAACGCTAGAAGTTCTGGCAGCTACAATGGCAATAGGAACGGCAACTTTGGCGGGGACAACAATAATCCTGTCCACGGAGTATCGGAATCGGGATCATCTGGAACCGGTCCGACTTCGAGCAATCAATTCGGAGTGCTCGACGATGATGATCGCCCCAAGCTGGTGCTAAAGCCAAGGACAGTGACTGCACCCATAAACTCTCTGGCCGAAACCAAACAGGCTGCTCTGATTTTCGGAAAGGCCAAGCCCCGCGATGATAGCTCCACGCCCGTATCCTCGCCACGCCAGGATTTGGATGCCATAACCGATGCCTTGAGTGCGTCTACTCCTTTCGCAGGATCGACAGGAGCCCCGAGTGATCATGATCCAGGTGTGGGCGACAACTGAATCGGATCCTACGAATTTGATGGCAGTCTAGATCGGTGGGGTTCAGCATGGCGAGATCTTTCAATAAACTTTTCACAGGCCTCTTATATTACATTATTAGATTTGTATCCTCTGATGTTCGTACACTTCGTCCTCGAAATCAAGACGGCAATCGCCTTTCCAATTTAAGCGTATTCAAAATTCACATTGTGTAATTCATTCTTACGCTTTCGTTAAATTCAGTGATTAGGCGAAGAAATAAATAAATCCTTGGCCTAGCATATAAAAAACCAGTTCATTAAAGGAAGTACGAATTATCCAATTTCTGGATCACTTCTAGCCCGTGGATGTACAAATCGCTATGCCCAATTTATTTCTATTCACGATTCTATTCATTTCTAATGCAGCAACACGGATATTTTCCTAATTAGGCGCTGATCAGCCCCGGATAACCATAAACATCAGGACGCCAGCCATTCCGCTTGGAGTACCCATAAATTGCAAAAGTTAATGCTCGGTGACAAAGTCGGGACTGGAAGATAACTCACCTCCGGCGGACAAAAAGGACATTCGTGGACACTTGGAGCGGCATTAACTAGTCAACTCGAACTAATTGAATTGAACAAGATTAAAGAATTTTACGCCGGAATAAAGACGTTTGGCAAGTGAGGCGAAAAGGAGCAGAAGGCCCTGGTATTTATGGGCCAAGATTTACGAGCCACAACAAGCCGCGGCCACTTTTGGCCACGGCTCCTGAAATTGAGCCGCACATCCTGGCCTGTACAGGCAAATTGGCTTAATTTCTTTTTAATTTGCTGCCGGTTTTCCCGGCTTTTCCTTGCTTTCCACTTTCACTTTGCGCTTGGCCTTCTCAGGAGCTCTCGAAACGAAATTCAATTTGAAAAAGTGGAAAGAACGGCGGATGTGAGGTGACCTGGCCACGCCTGTTTCCATTTCAATTTCTGGCCGATATGGAGAACATCCCCGGCCCAAAAGCCAATTTACGCACGAACATTTTTTCAATTTGCGCGGCTGAAACCGCAGTGACCCCCCATCTAATTTCCCCATCCCCACACGCTGCACTCTATAGAAATCCCGCGGAAAATTCACGGCATTAAAGGACTTTTCTTTTATTTTCTCCTCTCCTTTATTTCTTTTGAAGTTCGCCCGCTGGACGCGAGTTTTATTTGCCTTTTTTCCCTGTCTGCCAAGCCAAGGCTTTCCCGCTTTTCGCGCCGGACTTTTCCCGTTAATGTGTCACACGCACTTTATAAGCAATTGTTGTTGCCGTAGCTGGGAGGGAAAATGGGGGCGGCGTTGGCGTCTGGAAAAGTTGACGACGCTGTCGACGCCCATGGCGCAATTATTATGATTATTAGGTACAGCTGCACTTGCCCACTTATAAACAAAAATTGTAATCTACCTCAGCAGCGGAACACACTCAAAGAAAATACTGTTAAATCACGTTTTGAACAGTCTGGTGTTATTCCAAATAGTCACGAAAATCAAAAATTCAAGCTGATGTTATCAAAACGACTGTTTATCATTTTCTCTCCGTGCACTGAAAACTGTTCCCAAGCGTTGCTGCTGTTGTCCATTAGGGTGAACCTGAACTTTTGTCCGCATTTGACCGTTCGTTCTGGATGCTATGAATCGCCTTGGGGGTCACGCGTTAATAATCGCGCTGAATGACTTCATAATGAAAATATTAAAGGTGTTTGTTGCCGTTCTTGTTGTTGCTGCTAGCCGCCGGCCAGGATCAGGATAAGTATATACATATACAAGGAACACCCGCAGGACTCGCTCACACAAAAGGCGCAAAGTTTATGTTTATGTCATGCTCTCGAATGGAAGCGGAGAGGTGCGGGAGGGGACTTTTCCTTGGGTATAATTTAATAATAATGCTCCTTTTTTCATTAAATGTAAGTGCACCATGGGCAGAAGCTGCCTCAAGTGGCAGGTTGAAGTAAACCAAGTCGGAGGTGGGAAAATGTTGGAACTCAGTGCACTCAAGAAGACTTATTCAGAAGGCGTATCAGATCAGAATCGGTGCATAGGGCACAAAATATTTTAAAACATTAATTGATAAGAGCACTGTCTGAGCTGTGGACTGATAATTTCATATTTTTGTTAATTGTTTTTCTTATTAAAAGGCATAGGAATATATGTAGAGCACATATTCATGGTCGTATAGTCTGCTTGATCCAGCTTTCGATGTAAATAACATTTGTGTAGATATAAGGTTTTTTGGGTATGCTAGCCAAACCAAAGGTAGCTATGCCCCCAAGAACCCAAACGCCCTCTTGGAATGCCATCAGTGGTCCTCCGAAGCTCCAAAGGCAGCCGTCGACCTCCTTCGGACCATTGGCGCACAAATGGGATTCGTGCAGTGTATCCAAAGGGAGGATTTCGGAACGACAGCTGTCCAAATCCACGCCGGTGGCTTCAAATTTCAGCTGGACGAGGCTATCAATCGGAGTCTGGTTCGCTCTCCATGCTGCCCCGGTAAACTCCTCGTGGACTTCCCAATGTTGCACACCCACAGTCGAGGGCAAGCAAACAGGTCGAATGTTTGGCGTATAGGCGACCTCCCTCTCCAAGCGGATCAGACCAATGTCATACTCTGAAAAGCCGCGTGTGAAGTTTACATGTATGTGGATATCCTCGACCTCAACTCGCAGCATTCCATTGCATTCCAAGCTTCCATTGCGGCAATCCTCTGCGGCACTAGTGCCGTGCTCTCCCAATTGTACAGAGACTCTGAGAAGATAATAGTTAATAATAAAACCATAGTAACAGATATAAGGCTGCTTACAGGTTTCCGAAAGATTTCGACAGGCATCGAGCTACTGTTAGAACATATCGGTGATTGATCAGTGATCCCATGCACCCATTTTTCTTTATCTCTCCGCTTGATATACGGTACTGTAATACCACCAACCAGGGGAAACCCGAGAAGATAGTTTTATTGCCCGGAACCAACTGGTCGCCACCACAGATGGACCGATCGGGAAGCAAACTAGAATCTTCGCGAGGGATTTGGTCAGGCGTCCTGTTGTAGTCCTTATCCGTAGTGCAGCAGGCGAAGATGGTCTCGTTGCTCTGGTCTGATTCGCAACGTGAGTTTCGAATAAACTCTATCTCGGACTGTGTAAGATTACTCTTCACCAACACCGAATGCAGGGGCAAGCACAATTTAATGGGCACACACCGTCCTTCTGTCTGGTTGGGATTCCAACAAGTCTTGTCTGCGAGCAACCACAAATATAAAAAGCAATTTCAATATTATTTGCGTGTTTATTCCTCTTTATAAAAAACCCAATGTTCGGAGGAATTTTCACTTTGTGCACTTACATCGTAAAATGGCCTGGTTATAGTTAATCAAAATACACAACAAAACCGCTGCGATCACCTTCATTGCGATTTCGACTGAACTCCGCAAAGCTCGACTACGATCTGATCGATGAACACGAAAAATTTGACTGTCTGTCTCGATTTTGAATCGGAAAGATTTGAGCTTCAGTGGGATTACTTGCTGTTATCATGTCAATAAGATAAAGATAAGAGGTTCAGCGAGCGAAATACCACAACAAATATTTGCGAATTTCAGATTGCTGGGACCATAGATTTGTCATTGAAAATAGATGCTTGGAAGCCAAGGTAAAAAAACCCGAATGAATTATGCAATTAAAAAAAGCACTACTTCTAAAACTAACACAAGCTACAGCACATTGGCACAAGATACATTAATACTTGCTTGAGTATAGTTTCGAAATCAACATGTCTGTCAATATTCGGGTTATCAGCAATCCGATTGTGTCTGCACTTGCGGCGACGACCCCGAGGGTCTCGTCCAGGGCGATGTGATGAAGATCCTTTCGGACTTTGAGGTGAAGAATGTGCGTCTCCTGCAACGTCCGCATCAAGCTGGACAACTTTTCGGCCCCCCTGCGTATCAATATAGCCGACCATCGCCGGCAGACCCCGAGTTCCAGCGGAGCTATCGGAGCTCCCCTAGTCGGTGGCTCCCAATGTCTGGGCGGTTACAAAAAAGGTGGTGGCGGAGGGAAGCCCGCAGCAGCAGCAACCACCAAATGTCCAACAGCAGCCCCACCCAAAGCACCACGTCCATCAACTACAACCGCACCACTCGAGGTGGCTTCAATAGCCGTGGTGGTAGGGGTGATCGCGGTGGCGGAATGGGCAACGGCCATGGGAACGGAAATGGCAATCGCTACCAAGGAGGAGCTCCACGTCATTTCGATGACCGCGAGGATCATCAATCGTCCAGCAGTGGAGGATTCCAACGCAATCGCAACTTCAACTTCAATCGGTAAGAAATGGAATGCCAATCAAGTATTCATTCAAATTCATTTTCCAGCTCCATGAACAGCGTGGCGGAGGAGGTGCTATTGGGGGTTCAAAATATTTTTGAACATTTATTGATAAGAGCAGTGTCTGAGCTGTGGACTGATAATTTCATATTTTTTTTAATTGTTTTTCTTATTAAAAGGTATAGGAATATATGTAGAGCACATATTCATGGTCGAATAGTCTGCTTGATCCAGCTTTCGAGGAAAATAACATTTGTGTAGAAATCAGGTATTTCGCCTGGACTGTTGCCTGGTCTGCAAATCAAACCAAAGGAAGCTATGCCCCCAACGACCCAAACGCCCTCTTGGAATGCCATCAGTGGTCCTCCGAGGCTCCAAGGGCAGCCGTCGGCCTCCTTCGGACCATTGGCGCACAAATGGGATTCTTGCAGTGTATTCCAAGTGGGGAATACGGAACGACAGCTGTCCAAATCCACGCCGGTGGCTTCAAATTTCATCTGGACGGGGTTATGAATCTGAGTCTGGTTCGCTCCCCATGCTGCCCCGGTAAACTCCTGGTGGGATTTCCAATGCTGCACACCCACAGTCGAGGGCAAGCAAACAGGTCGAATGTTTGGCGTATAGGCGACCTCCCTCTGCAAGCGGATCAGACCAATGTCATACTCTGAAAAGCCGAGTTTGAAGTTTTCATGTATGTGGATATCCTCGACCTCAACTCGCAGCATTCCATTGCATTCCAAGCTTCCATTGCGGCAATCCTCTGCGGCACTAGTGCCGTGCTCTCCCAATTGTACAGAGACTCTGAGAAGATAATAGTTAATAATAAAACCATAGTAACAGATATAAGGCTGCTTACAGGTCGTATGGGATCAAATAAGATTTCGCCAGGCATAGAGCTGCTGTTAGAACATATCGGTGATTGATCAGTGATCCCGTGCACCCACTTTTCTTTATCTCTTCGCTTGATTTACGGTACTCTAATACCACCAACCAGGGGAAACCCGAGAGGATAGTTTTATTGCCCGGAACCAACTGGTCGCCACCACAGATGGACCGATCGGGAAGCAAACTAGAATCTTCGCGAGGGATTTGTTCAGGCGTCCTGTTGTAGTCCTTATCCGTAGTGCAGCAGACGTAGTGGTGCTTGCTCTTGTCTGATTCGCAACGTGAGTTTCGAATAAACTCTATCTCGGACTGTGTAGGATTACTCTTCACCAACACCGAATGCAGGGGCAAGCACAAGGAAATGGGCACACACAGTCCTTCTGTCTGGTTGGGATTCGAACAAGTCTTGTCTGTGAGCAACCACAAATATAAAAAGCGATTTCTATTAAGTATTCAGTATCGGTATTCAGTATTGTTTGGATTTGTATTTTTATAAAAACACAATGTTCGGAGAAATTTTCACTTTGTGCACTTACATCGTGAAGCTGCCTGGGTTTGGCTAATCAAAATACACAACAAAACCACTGCGATCACCTTCATTGCGATTTCGACTGAACTCCGCAAAGCTCGACTACGATCTGATCGATGAACACGAAAAATTTGACTGATTCTGTCTCGATTTTGAATCGGAAAGATTTGAGCTTCAGTAGGATTACTTGCTGTTATCATGTCAATAAGTTAAAGATAAGAGGTTCAAATATTTGGGAATTTCAGATTGCTGGAACCATAGATTTGTCATTGAAAATAGATTCTTGGAAGCCAAAGTAAAAAAACCCGAATGAATTATGCAATTAAAAAAAGCACTACTTCTAAAACTAACACAAGCTACAGCACATTGGCACAAGATACATTAATACTTGCTTGAATATAGTTTCGAAATAAACTGACAACTGACTCGTTGTCATTCTCGACGAATAGTCAATATGCGAGATATCCGATTGTGTCTGCACTTTCGACAGACAATCCCAAGAAATAATTAATGCTGGCAAAGGAGGAGGGGATACGGAATATAGGACCACAGAATTGGAGGACTACATGTAATATTTTAAATGTAGTTTCGGGCTAATTGTCATGCCATCGACGGCGTCTTATCGGACGGTAGCAAAACAATTTGGGCAAATTTATGCAACACAAGCGAGCTGAGAGTGCCCCAAAGGGCACGAGAGTGCACGAAGGACACACAGGACATGCTGGATGCCCAGATGGACAGATAAGTCAAAAATGCTGCCATTAAAATGCTGGCATTTGCAAGTCTATCTGGTATCGACAGGGTTTCGCAAAAGTTACGAAAGGAGGTGAGCGGAAATCTAGCCGTGGTGGTCATTAATGAACATGGGCCAGTGTCCTCGTACAGTGGAGTCCATTAAAAAGGACTAAATGGCAATTAAGCACTGGAGTCAAAAGGCAGAATCGGAGTCGGAATCAGAGGCTGAGGCAATTAAGCCGCCCCTTTCGCTGCAAGGACACTGGGCAATTAAGCCGGACCAAAGTTGGCCAATCCCTTGGAGTCGACCTTATCCTTTTCACCTATCTCTCTGGCCGAGGAAAACTTAAATGAGTTTTCCGGGAGCAGATATAGAGAGAGAGAGAGAGAGAGTCCCGCAGCGAGCATTTAAGTGACTGCAGCTTTGATTGGCTGGCCGCTTGAGTGGGCAGCAGATTTATCTCCTATTTCCGAGCCCCCCGATTGCACATAAATCCCTACGACGATACCTACGCCCGGCCAGGGATCCAGGGATGTAGCCATAAAAATATTTGGAATACCCAACGGCACATATGTATGTGAGTTGAATTTTAGAGGGCGACACATCTTCGATATGCTCGTTTAAAATAATTTATTGCACTGGCTCTGACATCCATTGAACGTCTGCCACCGGTTCCTAAGTAAAGTGTCCCGGCACAAACTCACAAGATAAATTGCGCAAATAGAAAAATGTTCTAATTAAAATTATGCACAAATATTTTGGATTTCTTCTCGCTGTCATCCATCGATGGGGTGCCAATTAAAATTGATTGGAAATTCCGGGACGGCATTCCCGGCATTTCTACGGCATTTCTACGGCATTTCTACGGCACGTGGGCGTTCCTCAGCGCATAGTAGCAGCTGCCCGATTCCTGTAACGTATCCTTTCGCTCGAGATTTGCATGCAGAACGTTGCTTTTGAAGTATGGGAATGGAAATGGGACTATCTGCGTGTCCTGACCATTCCGCATGACTACCCACTCCGAAACCAATAAAAAGAAGTCTCAATTAACACTCTTGTACTGGCAAAATGCAGCCAGATGGCTAAATGCATGCGTTTAAGTCGCCACCCCGACCTCCGCTAATGTAGCAAATAAAACGGTCACCTTAATGGATTTCTGTTACGCGGTCTAGCTTCGATTTGGACAGAAGGTGGCGAGGCACGGGAACAGGACTCCCAGGACTCTCGTGCTGTTCCATTGATTGTCCTTGAATCGCCGTCGTTCGCCACTTAATCCAATCGCGCACATGTTGAGTCCTAACAATGGACTCCTGCCTCGTCCTCGGTTTCGCTCCGTCTTTCACCCCATCCTCATCCACCTTAAGCGGCTTTCACCTTGACGTTGCCACCACCAACAAGGGCAACACGAAATCGAAACAACACCACCAGAATCTGCCGCGGATTCGGAATGCGGCATCGGGGAACTTTGGCCTCGACTTGATTTCCGCTGTAGCCTACACTTAGCAATATATACATATATACTCGTACAATATAGAACAACAATATATAATTCTAAATCTGAAATATGCGACATCCGGCGTAATTACTTGGAGCTAAGAGATACACACACATTCGTGAGTTCAAATAAACAAAAGTAGTTCCATGGAACACTTATTTTATAAGGTGATAAAAAAAAAATTAGAAACCACTGTACACTTGCAAAAAGAATATTGATGCATACTTTTGGATTATGCTAAATATCTAAGAAATTTATACATTTTTCCCAGTGTACTTATCGCGAAGGGGTGTGAGGAAATCAAGGCGAATATAGGGGGTGTACTGAGGATTGTGTGCATTGCCAACTGTTGTGAAAATTAGAACGTGTAGTCCGGCTCTTTTCAGGACTTATCACACACACGCACGACCGCACCACTGAGCCACTGAACCACTGAACCACTGAACCTCTCAACCACTGGCCACTGCACCACCTCTGTGGGCCGTCTGCATTGACTTACGATGATGTATTAGCCGTGGAATTAAAATTAAAAGGCCCGATCAGGTTGCCCCTTTTGATGAGCTCTTTGTTGCGAGTGTACATAGTGCCGAAGAGCCCGTTCCTAATTAATCCCACAGAGAATGCAGAAAGCAAACCGAACTTAAGCAACATCTGGGCTCTCTGACTGACATTAACTAAAGACCGACGCCACTTGAGGCACAAATTCGACCGAATTTCAGTATTTCAGAATTTCAGAATTTCAAATTGGGGCTGACAGGCGCGAACGGAGAATACGAAAACCACATTTGGGCACCCGGAATGAAAGATCATTCAGCTGTCAGAATCATTAAGAAATGTGAAATCGCTTAAATGTGCTCTGCAAGAGGTTCCATCATTTTTCTTCTTCCTAAACCAAGCTTTTTTAAGGGGGAGCAGACTGATTGCGGTATGGGGTTGGCGCCCAGTGGAACACATGGAGATTGGGCTTCAAACGTAAGTCCGAGACGTGAGAAGTACGAAAGCTGAAAGTTATCTCTAGTACTGACTAATGTGTGTATGTATTTCGCAAAAATGCACTGTAAATCAGAACCTAATGAGGCTTTCGTGCTGATAAAAAAAGCTGCGCATTACTCATCCAAGGCAAAATACATTTTTTGTTGTAAACACTTGTGAAATGAGTTCAACTTTTTTCCACCAAATCGTCGGCACTTCCTTCCCGCTCCACTCGCTTCATTTTGGGAGGTAAATAAAAATGTTCAAAAATTAATGCCTGTCTTTCATTTGCGAGGCCGAGAGGCCATTTTGCGCCTTCCGCTCGGAACCATTCCGTTTTCAATTTCGCTCCCCAAAATCCTCACTTCTGGCCACACGTTTGCCAG